AAAAAAAAAAAAAAAAAAAAAAAAGAAGCAAGTCATGGTGTCACTTTTCTTTTCACCACCCCTTTATTCCACGGTCTTCCTCTTTGTCAGCGTTCTCATCCAACCCTTTCTAACCTTCACTCCCTCAACCTTGTTCCCAACGTGGCCCACACCACCCTTACTGGACCTCTTCCATTGGATCAAGTGGACCAAACGGCCCATACGCTTTCGCCATCTAAACGCGTTATTTGACTTGCCGTGCTCTATCACGCTCCTGTTACTATCCTTCACCTCCGTCATTAGGACTTCACTATTCACACCCCCCTTGTTAGAGACCGTGCCCTTTTCCCACGATGCCACCCCATTTTCTTCAAACTTGATTGAGATGAATGACTCTGAAAAGTTCAACCAATTCCACAATGTTATTATAATTTGTAGATACCAAGAAACACACCCACACATAAATAAATATATATTTTTTTTTATTCTCGACAATTCTTCAAAACAATAAATAAAGTTAATCGAGAAGGCTAAGGTCTGCTTAGTACAAACATGTTTTAATGTTGGATGTGCATAATAGATTAAGAAACAAATTAAAACCAGACAATGTAACACTAATAGATAGATTTACACACAGTCACACACCCCTTCTGAATTTTATGTTTGAATCGGGTTCATGATGAAATTTTGTTGAAACTGTGTTAGAAACTGACATATAAATAGCATCATATATGTCTGAAACATTAATGACATTTTGCCCAATAATTTGTTTTGTAACTGAATTCCACAGCAAATCTATAATCTTACACAAAATATATTTTCAGTGTCGCATAATGATAATGGTCCTGTCGTTTGCGTATGACTAGCACACGCCACGCCAAGAAGAATTAAAGAATGAAAGACCTTAATTTCATCGTCGTCATCATAATCTAATCTTGCACATGAAGATATGCGCACATGCACTGCTATGCTAACTTTTCCAACAAATATTTAATAGCAATTTTTCACCCACCTCACCATGAACATTAAATCAACAAGGAAAAATGAAAAAGCGAAAACCACCCACCAATGCCAACACTTAAAACTTTTTTAAATGTTCCCATTATTTTTTAAAAGTTTTATTCTTATATTACTTTTTTGGGTACATGCCATAGTTCATGGGAGAGAGAATCTATCAAGTCAAGTAGGTCCGTATTCTAACTATTTAATATAGTTCTATATCAAAAACTTAAATTCAAAACAATTGCTGATTAAACTTAAAACAAATTCGTATCAGTTGATGAGATATATATTATAAAATTATAATGAATTGAGAATAGAGGAAGATGGAATAAAAAGAGTAAGGATAATAAAATTTGAGAATAGCAATATAATAGGAAGCAAATGTGTAAGATAAGGTCTTTCCTTCTGGGCTGGGAGAGGCATCATGTTGATCATAGTAGTGAGATTTGAATTGGTGGCGAGAGAAAAGAGAACCAAAGGCAAAGATCTTGTGAATAGGGTTCCTGTGTGAGGAAGTTTGAAGCCTGTGATGAGAAGCTATGGAGGCAAAGGGGCGATGATGGTCTTGTTTTGCAGCCAGTTCGAGGAGCCTCTCATTCAAGCACAAGGGGCACACACCAACAACCACTTGCTTTGGATGGAAATAGCAACATGCTTCTTTTTCTTCTTTCTCACCATTTCTATACATGTTTTGCTTCACAATAAGGAGAGGAGAGGGTGGAAGAAGAAGAAGAATGGAGGAAAAATGAAAACCCAATCCCAATGTGATGTGAATTGTGAGCTACTAATTAATTAAAAAAAATTGTAGTGTAAAGTATTTTTGACAATATATATAGGTGGGAGACCGATTGAAAAATCATGAGCATGGTCCCATAAGATGTGTAAGACCCTTGACAATATGTTATATTGTTTGATAAATTGTATTTTGTACAATTTTATTCATATTTTTTTTAATTATATTATTAATATGAAGAGCTGTAATTTTTAATAAGGTTCCTCTTTTTAATTATGTTTTTTTTATTTACAAAATTCAAATTTGAAATTCTATTATTTAAGGAGATTGAGTTTAATTTTTTTTAAAAGATATTTAAAAAGAGAGAAAAATATATGAGATAAAATAATGAGTTAATCACTGCCAGTATAAATATTTTTTACACTGGCAACCAATTATATCTCTTAATTGTATCATGTCACTATAAATACATTTATTTTTAACGGTGACATGACACAATTAGAAAATATAATTGATTGTCAGTATAAAAAATTTTACACTATCAGTGTATAGATGATTAACTCTAAAATAATTGAAGAAACATGGTAATGTAAAAAAAATATAGCTTGTACTGTTTTTCTGAGCTGCAGGGGTGATTCAGAAATGTAAAGTAGTAGATTACTGCTCTATGGTCTGGAATATATACAGCATATGGCAGCTTAAGAGATTATATAACTAATGCCATAAAACTGCCCCCACCTTACTTCATGGGCATTTTTCGTTAAAAGTTTTATTGCTTTTATAGGATTTTAATCGTAATTTTCTGTAGGGTAAAATCACAATTTCACTCTTCAAAAAATTCCTTCCAATCATTTTTTTTATATAGAGAATTAAGAACATATTTATGGTAATTTAACATTGTAGTATTGAATCGGTCTATGATGTTACAACTTTGACTTTGATTGAGTTTCAAAGTATTTTTGTAGTGGTTCTCTTTTTTTGCCCCAACTGAGATCTGGTCAAGGGTTAAAATAATAATAATAATAATAATAATAATAATAATAATAATAATAATAATAATAATAATAATAATAATAATAATGATGATAATGTCATGTTTATAATCAAAGAATTGTGAAATAAAAGAGAAAAGAAGATGCAACCAAGTTGGACGAAGGAAATAGTGTCATTATTATATCAAACAAAAAAAAATCAAATTTCTCGCATTTAAGCTATGTAAGAGGAAAATAGAAGGTACATATAGTCTCTTTAATGTTGTTTGTGGAAGGAAATAATTCCCTTCGAAAATAGAAGGAAAATAGGAGTTTATGACATTTTTTTACCTTCGAAAATATTATTTTGACTTTATGTGATAAACATTTTGTGTACTAGTAGGTTGTCCTCAATATATTCGATCATGAATTGATTGGATCCAATAGCAAAAAAAATACTAAAAAAATATGTATGCAATGATAATAACATGATTAATTGAATTCATATAAGTAAATACTGATAATCAATTAAATATAAATGTTGTTACATGAAGAAAAGTCATATATATAATCCTTGTGTATCATATATGATGTATACTAGCATAATCAAGGTGCTCACATAAGTATTCTACAGAAGTTGCATCCATGTATATACCCTTCACAAGTTCAAAGGTTAAGAAATAACCCAAAAAATATCTCATCAATGTTTGTATCACTCGTATAGTAACTTAGCCAAATAGAAAACAAAAGCTTTTGCTACATAATCCAAGATTTAGTCTTACTGGTATACACTTGCTACACTTGTGATAAATTTAGATTGAATATCTACTCTTTGTCAATCTTAATATAGTATTTTAGATTCACTGCCGACTAACGTATTTTTAACTCAATATTAACCATAATGTCTTTACTTTGATTTCAAATAAAATATTTTTTATTCGCACTTGATCAAAGTACTAGTTTGGTCTTGACCAAAACATTTTTACTTCATTCTTGATTAGAGTATTTTCAACAAATCCCAATCAGAGTATCTTAATTAGTTTGTCTCAATTAAAATATATTTAGCTCAACTAAAGTATAATATTTTTAATATATAAAAAAATTATAGATAGATTGTATATTTATCCCATTAAATTATTAATAAATATAGATTGGATAATTTTTATTAAATGCATCGTAGATGGTTTGAATTTTTTTTATTTGAAATTTAATGGGTATAATAAAAAAGATTAATGAATAAATTTTTTTCATCCATTATAATTTTAATCAAAATTTATCTAATTCATCTATTTATCATCCCTAATTGAGACATTAATAATAAAGTGGTTTTAACTTATTTTAAAAAAATATTTGAATTTTGAGTTGTATAAAATTTATGTCCTATTTTCATGTGTATTGTGAGCATGAATGGTTTAGTACAAGAATAATTTCTAAGGTGGGAGACAAAAAAAATTCCTCACCTATGTGAGTCTATTTTTTATTGTAAAATATATTAGTAAAATAAATAGATATTCACTACATATAAAATAATGATTCAATATCACTTTCTTTGTTCATTTTATACAAATGACCCATGAAAACTTTATAGAATATTATTACAAGCGATACATATTTTTTCTCTTCCTTTCTTCAATAAAGCAAGAAGAAAGGGAACATAGATTTACTTTGATGTTAAGCCTAAGCTTCTCATCTTTGGGACCCACCTAGCATTGATAATTATCATTCTTCTAGAGTTCTCAATTGCTTATATCTTCTTTTTTTTTTTTCATCTGTTCAACATTAAAAAAAAAATGTTTCTCTTTCGTTCATGGCTCTTATCTTTCTTATTTTTCTATGTCTCCAATGTTGGAGCACGACATTGATACTAGCAAACGGATCCAGCAATGTGGTTTGTTATAGATCGAAGATTTCTTCACTAATAAAATAGTAATAATCAAATACTACCATTAGTCTAATAGTGTCTTTATGCACAAAATGATATACAAACTATAACAAGATTACAAATTTTGAAAAAGTCAATCATCGGGTTCCCCATTTACTACGCATACCAAACAAACAAAATGAAAAGGATATTCTAACCGATTAATATTTATTAACCTATGCAAATTCTCCGTTTAATTATAATAAGCAATATCTTTTTTTTTTTTTTTAATAAATCAGTAGTTTTCATTTTAACTATATTCTTATTTGTATTTAAGAATAGTGCTAACAACAAATTATGAGAGACTTATTAAGTAATAAGTAGCACTTGCAACAATAACACAAATAGACTCAAAAGTATATTGAAAAGTATCTTACTAATATTTTTGACACGTATAATAAATCATATGCTCGAATCATCAATTAAAATCCTTATTTGCAGCACCATAGCGTCTTTGATGTAAGCTAAATTATGACATGATAATTAACTATATCTAGAATCTAGAACACGATAAGCAAAGCTTTTGACTTTTGTAGAGAAAAATTAAATGCCGTTTCTTGACCTTTACCATCTTTTCCTTTTCCAATATACTTAATATCTTGACACACCACCAAGACTTTCGAACATAAAATCAAACCTCTAGGAATAATAAAGATACAATTGTAGTCATAGATTTAGTGTGGTAAAAAATGGGTGCACCAATCAAATTCGTTGTACGGTGGTGCTTTGAATTTTATTTGTTGAAATTGAAATTTGGATCCTTTAAAACAAATCACTGATTTGAATAATTCTGTATTTAATTTTCTTAAATAAAGTCTAAGATATGAATTTTGTAAATGAAAAAAAATATAATTTAGAAGAAAAAATTTGTTATAAATGCTTAACTAAATAATTCAACCAAATTAGTATTCATCAACAAAGTCAAAAAATATTTTTTACCAATTACATAAATAAATAAATAAAACTTAAACTTTTATTGTCTATTGGGTACCAATTTCAAACTGTAACAAATCTAAATCCAAAATTGTCCTTGCCCTTAAGCCTAGGGCATGATTAAAAATTGTGTGCAAAGAGTGTCAAACACGTGTCATTGACAGTGTGTAATAATTGGCATGAAATATTGATCTATTTCTCGTATAGCCAACATGTGTGAGACAGAAGGTTTATGAGCATTGACCAGTACATGTACTCAGAGCCTCTACCATGATACAATTTGGAGAGAGGGAATGGAAAAAATAAAGAGAAGAAAATGGGATAGCATAGGGTTAGAAGAATAGAGAGGGTGTATGAAACAAACATCCGAAAGGTACATGAAACAAATCACATGGGTGAGAAGAGGTTGTAGGGACTGTTTACAGATCTGGTTGGCTTCAGGTCTCATTCAATGGTCCAGACTTGGATTGCCTCTCCTTCCTCTTATTTTTCTCCCTTTCTTCCTTTTCAAATAAGTGTTAGTATGCAAAGACAATTCCAATATTACCTCTATTTAGTGTCTTTATTTAATGTCTAAAAAACACTTTGCCTTGATAGCTAAGTGTGTTAAACTTGTTGCACTAAACATGCCCAACTTTTCTATAGGTTATGTTTTTTCTGGTCCTCTTAGTTCTTCAGGCTAGGTTAAACTACCATACTTTTATTTATTTATTAATTTTATATGTAATTTAAAACAAAACAAAAATAAGCTAAATAGGTTTGGTGTTTTTTGGCATCATTTTTATTAGTCAATTAAATTGATCCAGTCTTTTTTAAATTAAAAATAAGGAGTTAGCTCTATTTGATTGGATAATTTTGACAATTTTTTTTTTTTTATTATCAGCAAACATAATTTATATTATAAAAGTATAAGGGCACCAAATTTTTTTATACAAATATAGCGTAATACAAAGATACACTTCAAAGATAATATATAAATAGGTGTTTACCCCTATCATGTACATATTACCATCTAAAACCCAGCCTTATATACATGTAGAGTAGAACTCATGTTGATCCAAAAATCCCCAACACTAAGACATAACATAAACAATTCTATATACATTTGCATTAAATATTTAGAAAAATTGTCATGTTACCCATAATATTCCTACTTCACTGTTGCTCAATTGTTTAAGATATGTATCATTTACAAAAAAAAATTAAAAAGTTAAAACCACAATTGTGTTACTATATGAAGCTCTCCAATTAATTATTAAATAATATTTTTTTCACAGTGATTACATTAACATTACAATTTATTAATTATAATTTTTTTTAATAAAAATTAGTTTCCAAAAATCATTTATAATTTTCTTGTCTTTTATTAAAAAAAAATATTAATTTAGATTAGGGATCGTTTATTGTATGCTTATGGACATATAATGTAAAAAAAACACCAGATATATCATAATACATTAAATTATTATTTTTAAATAGATTAGTTATTCTTTTGTATAATAAAAAAAATCTCACTATTTTTTCTACTTTTTCATGTACTCATAAGCACAAAATAATAATAATAAAAAAAACCTTTCATATATTTGACGCATCTTTTTAGGTGCAGAGATTATTAGTGAGGACATTTTCTTATGTATAAATATATATATATATATATATGTGTGTGTATGAGGGGGTTATAATTACACTGGTGTAACTTTTACTAAGTATTATACCGCTTAATAATTTTATATTAATTATGAATTTTGTAAACTTAATCGTTAGATTAAAAGTTTATATCACTTTATAACAATTTAAAGGTGCTCAAAGTGTTCATATTTTAGTATATTTTGAAATGAATATATTACGTCAATTTTGTTTTATAAAAATGAAATATCAAATTATCTTGGATTAATATAAAATTTTGTATATATGATCTAAGAGATATGAACTTTCAATTTAACGGTTGAATTTACAAAATTCGCATTTAATATAAAGTTATTGAACAGTGTAACACTTAGTAAAAGTTACACTGGTGTTATTATAACTCCTATATATATAATATTTGATAAAATAATCACTTTCTAAATATTTATTTTAATGGCTAATGACAATATTAATTGCCATACAATAAAGTTAGAGCCTAAAATTAAATTCATGCATATGATTTTGTGTTCTTAACTCTAACCATTAAGTTCATTCTAGTGATTAGAGTGATTCTAATAGGCAAATTTTATGCATGTTACAAATCACACCTTAATAAAATGTATAACATTTTTTTATTTAAAAGAGAAACAACACTTTAAGGAAGATAAAGTGTGAATATATATTTTTTTATACTTTAACAAATGTCAGGCCAGTAGATTAAGTGAGCTCACATGTCATTTATCATTAGGAAGCTTGCCACCTTCTGTTTCAACATCTCCAACAGGAAATAGGTTCCCAATATCCTCACTCACCTATCCCCGTCTTTTGCATTCTCACTTTGCTTAGCCTTGACCACCTTAATTAGGCTCTCTGTCTTCTATACTTGTTCTTATTTCGTTATTTTACAATGAAATAGATGAAGGGAAATCGATGTTTTCTTGGAGTTTTTGAAGTGTGTGAAAGCGACCCATTCATTCAAGCTTAGATAGTAGCACAAAAATGGTGTATATTGCTTTGGAGTGTTGTAATTTTTGTAGTATTTCAAAAGGTAAGAAGTATCACATTAATTATCTAGTTTTGCCTTGGAATATTTGTGTGTATATCAAATTGTGATATAAGTATTCAAAGTGGTGGTTAGCAATGGTTGTGAGGCTCTCGCGCAAGAATATGGATCATGAAGACTTAATGTAGTGCAAATTTGTCAATCCCCTCCCCCTGGTTGTGTGCGTGATAATGAGTTTTTTTTTAAGCTTTTTATGTTATATTTTAATTAATTATTTTGAATTCAAATTCAAAATCTATATGTAATCAATGTATGTCAATGTTTAATGTTGTTGTTTTAAATGACCAATATTTTTTTAAAATTAATTATTTTATATTTTTTTAATTTATTGGTTGATACAACAATCAACTTTTTTCTTCTTTAAATATCATGCATCTAGGGGAGTCAAATGCACAGAACACTATTCTCTCTTTTGTTTCTCGGCACTCCACTCTTTGCATCTCTAGTGTGGTCACTAGGATGATCCTTTTGTATCTTGAGGGAATTGTGTGAGACTATACGAATAAGGTAAACAATATCATTAAAGTAAACTAGTTTAAAATGTTCAATGTTGACTTAACTCTAATTAAGGTACTTTCACAATGATTTTAACGCATCACAAAAACTATAGACAAAATAATTGGAAGACTCCAAACTATCTTTAAATAGCCTGAAAGCTCTAGGGATTGAGTTTACAAAGGCTCAAACTAATCTAACAATATGTAAAAAGTATAGGAACCTAAAGCTTCTGTTATCTCAAAGGCTTAAGATCTAAAATAAAACTCTTACTTTGGATGAGTTACTAGGAGTTATGAAAGTGCATAAGATTCATATGTGCAAGATAGATCAAATTAAAACTAATGATATTGTTGTATTCAAGACGGTGAATTAAGCCAAAAAAAAGAGAAATGCAAAGTTTTATAAGTTTAGTCGGATCATAATAGTTTAGACAAAGAATCAAAAGACTTAATAGATGATGAGATCTTCCTCATGTTCAAAAAGTTCGAGAAGATGCTCAAGAAGAAAGGAAAAAATTAAAGAGCTTCTAGAAAGAAAGAAAAAAGGGACAAGTTTAGAAAACCTTCCCAAGATGAATGCAATAAGATCATATGCTTTGAGAGTTAGAAGGTATAACACACGAAGGCTTAAGTGTCCTAGATTCATAAATAGGTGGTCAAGTGAGAAGAAAAAGAAGAACTTGATGACCACATAGAAAGATTTGGACAACAATAGTAATAGCAATTTAGATGCTAAGAAAACAAATATCTATTTGATGATATACAAACAAAATAACTTTGGAGGTAAAATTCAATCTCAACACTTTGTTTGAATCATCTAATCTCACATAATTACTCTCGAGTAAATTTTTTTAAAAAAGTACCAAAAAATGATTTCTAAAAAAATGAAATACTTGAGAATTTAAAATAATTTGCTACAGAGAATAAAACTCTCAAAAACAAAATCACAACAACACATCTATTTGAAGTTGTAAATTTAAAAGATAAAAACCTAAAACTAAGACAAGATCTTGCCAAATTTGTTCATGAATCTTCTAAACTAAACATGATTTTACAACATAATTATTACCTTAAGACAATTGAGGCCTTAGATATGAAGGCCATAAGACTAAGTTTGTCCTTCTCAAGTCCAAAAGTCCAATGCACTATTTTATAATTTTTGTGGCAAGAATGGTTCGCAAAAGAAAACAAAAATTAACTAAGATGAAGGAAACTGACATTAGAGGACCCAATAAAACTTTGGTGCCATTAATATCCTTGAAAGGAAGAGGCAAATGCAATATCAAAGGTATAGTAAGATTGATAAGGACTATTTACCTACTATTTAAAATGTTTTGTTTGTTGAAAAATTAAAGTATAATTTACTTAACATAAATCAATTTTGTGATAGTAGATATGTTGTATCTTTCAATAAAGAATCATGCATAATCAGATGAAGTGGTGAGTTGTACTTAATGTGTACTTGGTTTGAGATTTCTATATGACCTATGTTGATTTCTTGAGGTTGGAGTACCCCTACAAAACTTTGTAACCTTTACAAGTTGTTCAAGGATTTCATCCTAGTTGAAAGTGTAAGTGTCAAACATTCACGATGTGGTGTTCTGTCGATTATCTCATACTCTTAGGTTATTCTTATTATGAAACTTCAAATTGATGCTACATGCATAAGTGCATTAGAATATAGGACAACATTGCATAACACGAATTATTATCTTGAGATATATCTTAAATGATAATTATATTGTTATATATTTGGATGTATGTGACTTGTCCGAACTTTGTTTTCACATAAAGAACATGTAATGAAACATATCTCATTCTCTTGTGTTTGCATTGTTTGTGTTTATGATGAATGTTACTTGCAAATGAGTATCAATTAAAATGATGTCATGGGAGAGGCTTAGGCCTATGTTAACTTGCTATTTTGGATGATCTTATTTCAATAGAATTCTGACATCAAAACATGAAACTTATGGAGTTTTTGTTTCAAGCATTACTTTAGACAGGTTTTTGAACTTGTATTTGTTTTGGTTTCGAGTTGGTTTTGGTTTTTAAACTTTGTATGCCTTTCATGTCAACTATTACTTATGTTTTACACTTTATATTTCCTTTTAAGTTTTAGATTTTGATCGTATTAATATGTTATATCTTCTATCCGCTTGAAATAGGTTTTATGACAACATTTCTTTTCTTTTAAATTTTGTCACATGTATGATAATAAATATACGAAGAGTTGAGAGTGTCACAGTTGATAACAAATTTCTTCCATATGATTTAGCGGAATCAGGATGCACCGATGGTTTTGGTACAAGACTTCTGTAAAAGGAAAACAGCTAATATGGATATTTTAATTTTATTTTATTTTTTAGTATGGCTTTATTTTAAAAGAGTCATAATTTTCAACTTAATTTAAAAAATCGTATATAAATAATTAAAAATATAAATGTTTATGTACACAACTATTAATATATATATATAT